GAAACTACCATTCCAGAAGGCAGGGGATAGAGACTCAGACTGGAGGGTCTGGCCTTGGAGAGGGCCACGTACAACTCATCTATACCCTAGCAGGCAGGAAGGTTGGTAGAGGTGGTGGTGGGACTCTACAGGAGTCCTCTTCTGATTGCTCTGACTTTTCCACTGAAGCAGGAAATAGAGCATGAGGGCAGGAGAGGAAGTATAAAAGGAGAAAGTATGAAAGAGTAACCTAGGAGGGCAAGTGAATGAACTAGGAAAATACAAGTATGATTGCCCAGTAGCCCTTGGGGCCCACTTAAATTTTATGAACCAACTGGGAACCAACACTAAGAAATTCAGCTAATCTGAAAGATAAAGGCTGGCTGCATTTCTGTTAACAAATGAATTCTTTAACACCAGCTGCTTAAAATGGCAAGTATCTAACATATTTTCAATACACAAAATGTAAAAACAATACTCTGGGAAAGTTGCAATTTCTCCAGATAATATGTTGAAAAAGACTACATCCTATTTTCACACCTTATTCATAATTACTTTATTATACCTTGGAAGAAGTCAGCAGTCTCCGAAGAATTTAACAACTATGGGTTGAAGTTAACTCCCTTATGCAGACCTCTGTAAACAAAAGCTGAGTTTGAAAGCCTTAAGCCAATTACATACTGCAACAGTGAAGCATTCAGTTTAGTTACATTCTTACTCACAGAAATCCAAGCTTACACGTAAAAGACTATCTAGGAGTATTCAATTAATCAGCAGGAACTGTCATATAAAAATCTATTCTAATTATATTGTGGTGATGGTTGCACAACTCTGTGAATATACTAAAACCACTGATTTGTATGATTTAAATGGATGAATTGTACAGTACAGGAATTATATCTCAATAAAGCTTTTTTAAAAATCTATTCTAAACTCTTAACCTCAACAGAATAGTTTTTATTATTGTGAAGCAAAAAAAAAAAAAAAATTTTTTTTTTTTTTTTTTTAAGTTTCTTTGTTAAAATTTCACTGGGAAGCACAACTGGACTAAACCAAAGCTAAGAAGTTTCCTGAATACAATCATACACTTCGAGGGACAGAGTAGCAGGGCTAGGGGTGTGGGAACCATGCTTTCACAGGACATCTAGGTCAACTGGCATAACAACACTTATTAAGAAAATGTTCTGCATCCTACATTGGTGAGCGGCGTCTGGGGTCTTAAAAGCTTGCAAGCGGCCATCTAAGATGCATCAATTGCTCCCAACCACCTGGAGTAAAGGAGAATGAAGAACACCAAAGACACAGGAAAGTATTAGCCCAAAAGACAGGGCCACATAAACCAGAGACTTCATCAGCCTGAGACCAGAAGAACTAGATGGTGCCCGGCTACCACCAATTACTGCCCTGACAGGGAACACAACAGAGAGTCCCGCGTGGAGCAGGAGAAAGGTGGGGCACAGAACTCAAATTCTAGTAAGAAGACCAGACTTAATGGTCTGACTGAGACTGGAGGAACCCCGGAAAGCATGGTCCCTGGATTCCCTATCAGCCCAGAACTAAAACAATTTCCGAGGCCAACTCTTCAGACAGGGATTGGACTGAACTGTGGGACATAAAGTGATACTCGTGAGGAGTGTGCCTCTTTGCTTAAGTAGATACAAGAGACTAAACGGGCAGCTTCTGTCCAGAGGTGAGATGAGAAGGCAGAGAGGGTTAGGAGCTGGCTGAATGGACATGGGGAATGAGAGGTGGAAAGGAGGAGTGTGCTGTCACAGTCTGGGCAGAGCAATTAGGGTCACATAACAATGTATGTGCAAATTTTTGTATGGGAAAAAGAAAAAAAAAGAAAAAATTGCACTGGGAAATGGAACAAATACAGTATGTTTTGATGACTTATAAACTATGTAAGGATCTGGAAGTCTTTCAGAATAAAGGGAAGAGTTTGGGTTGGGTTTTGGAGGAGGTGTTCTGGGTTTTTTTTCTCTTTAACTGGCTAAAATATACAGCTTCTAACATTCCTGCTTCATCCCTTTGATGAAAACATACTCAAACCAACTTGACTAAGATGAAAAACAATCTTTTCACTGTAGATAGCTACAAGTAACTCTTACATTCTATCACAGACACTCACAGCATGACTGAATGGCAAACCAATACCTGAACCAAAATAAAAGGATAAAATGTCATAAGTACTAATGCAGATAATATCACATTTCTTAGAGTTATGATACTTCAGAGAAATTTTATACTTCAAACCTAATCAGCAGGCCAAAGAATTCATAAGCTCTGAATTTTCTCCCCGAGATAGGAAAGATGAATTCAATAATTTTACCACACTGAAATTTCAGCTTCTATGTCACAATGTAAAAGTGGGAAATTTCTCCACCTTTAAAATAATATCCCCACAAAGACTAAAAATAAAGGTTATATTCTTCTAAGCAAAGGGATTGGAAGAGTGAACTGACAAAATTAAGGTGTTCATGAAAAGAACAATGGATGTAGAAGTCAGAAAACAGGGCCACTACAAGGCTTAACCCATTGAAAAAAAAACTCATTGTCATCAAGTTGATTCAGACTCATAGTGTAACCCTATAGGACAGATCAGAACTGCCCCACAGGGTTTCCAAAGCTGTAAGTCTTTATGGAAGCAGACTGCCACATCTTTCTCTGGCTGAGCAGCTGGTGGGTTCGAAACACGAACCTTCTGGTTAGCAGCCGAGCGCTTAACCACTGCACCACCAGGGCACTTCCAAAATGGAAACTATGAAAGTAGGTAAGTCAATTAACTTCTTTAGCATTGGCTCTCTTGGTTTGTAACCTGGGAAGTTAGCATCTGCTTTATCTCCACAGTAGGGTACTTGTGAGGACCAAATGTGAGATCAGGGAAGGCTTTTTGGTAGGTGTAAAGCCTTCTGCAAACAGAAGCATAATCATATTTCACTCTTGAAAATCTCAGTCTCTCTGATAAGCTATTGATCACCTTCTACTCTACGTGTACAAAATTTACTCTCCTACATTATTTCTGTAATAGCTGTCTTCAGGTACAAATCAAACTTTTGTAAAAACAAACAAAAACTGAGGGAGGGGGCTTAAGGCAGCTTATTGAACACATACAATATGAAAGAAAATAAATTTTAAAATAGATGAGAGAACTGAGATAACAGCAATAACTAAGACATCTTCAGCACTCATCTATACCAGGTCCTGCTCTAAGAGCTTTCCATTCACCCTCACAGTAGCCCATGATGTGGGAATGATTTACAGAAGAGGACCCTGAGGACGCCCGGGAAAAGGAAGTTTACTTGGGCCACAAAGCTAGTTTGGCAGCAGAGCCTGTACTCTAACTTTACTATATTGTATCTCTTTTCCTCGGGACAAAGGAAAATTACAGGGATGGAGGAGGGGATTTGAAGAAGATGAAACCATGACTGATGTGGTATATAAAATGTACATATATATATCCAAGTTCATTTTATACCTTTGGTTAGATATGGCCAACATTTTATAAGCAAATAGCTCAAAAGAAATTTGCTCAGTTACAAAATTCTAAATCCTTAAGTTAAAAACAAACCAGATGCTCAGGAGGAGGTCAGCTCTTTCTGGTACTAAGACCTGAGAAAAGTTTCTCCTCTGGGTCCTCATAAAGACAGCAGTTTGGCTCAGGAACACCTTTATAAACCATTCAGTACACACAACAGTGCGTTCCACAAGGCTCCATATAGGTCAACGGCCTCACACCAACATAATTCAAGTAAAGCCAATCTGCCAAAAGTAAGAAATCCAAAGTCTTTCTGGTAATTCTAACACAAATGTAGGGTTTACTTTAACAGGAGCTCTTAATGAGAGGTTTATGGATGGGCTTCAGGGAGTCCATAACCCACCTGCAGCTGTAGATATATTTGCCCAAATGTCCCAAACTCTGTTCTGGGGAGAAGGACTATAGTTTCCAACATATTCAAAGAACAAGTCTCTAATAAAGTTAAGGACTCTTGACAAAGGAAATAAGGAGCTGCATAACCATCAGGAGAGCCTACTGAAATAGTCTTCATACCTAAGGCTTTGGGCAGGTATTGAGCAGCAGTCAGGCTGATGTTAAACGCTAATATTAAGTAACTAGTACTGGATAAATGCAGCATCAAAATGCTCTAAATAAGCGAAGCTGGAAAGTAGCTCTAACCCGGTCTTATAATCATTCGAATATTCACTGCTGCAATTATTATTATACACTATAAGCTCCAAAGACAGGATCAAATCTTCCTCATTTCTAAGTGCCTTAACCATTCAATAAATAGTTATTCAGTAAATAAATAAACTAATGCAAATCTATAAATATCTAGCAAATAAGGATCTTGGCAGAAATGAGTGCCTATACCTCTAAAAATTCTAAGTATTTCCTTCCCTCGGATAATGAAATCTTCTTGTAAAACAAAGAACATGAGGAAAACATTTGCATCCAATTGCTAAAAAAATTAATACTACTACATTTCACATGAACCATAACCTAACATCACTGTACCAGAATTATGCCCACTTTTTAAAAGGTCTAATCAGATTACATCATTCCTTTTAAGTTCTATGCCTTTATGCCCTCCCCCTAAAGAATCAAGAATGAAGCACATATAAGTAAAATTCATGGTCCTCATTTCTCCTATCTATGGCAAATAGTAGGGGAAATCAAAATTTCAACATAGCTGACAAGAAATGAGTACTTATAAAAAAATAAAAACATTGACATATGATAAAATATTACTTACCCAATAATAAATGTTTATGCAATAAATGTAAACCTGTTGTCAAAACTGAAGAAAACCTCCCCCCAAAAAACAGACTGCTTTAGCCATTATATTTTTCAGCACTTTTTGTTCTTCCTTTCCACTCAAAGATAAAAACTCAAACTGCTCCTGCCCCAAGTTATAAGTAAATACTAATTGCTACAGTATCTTCCATGAACATCTAGCATTTATTATCATTCAGTATCTTGGGAAAGGCGAACATTTCCATTAGTGAACATTTCCCCTTACCTATTCAATGTGAAAATCACTCTCTGTGGAAAGAGCACAGCCTATGAAAGAAAAGAGACTGCCTGGGTAGATGATCAAAAAATATAAACGTAAAACAAAAACTCTCTTGCATAATTTGCCAGATTAATACAAAAAAAAGACATCAGTAACAACAGCTAAAACCAAAATTGTTCAAAATGTTCAATCTAGATACAGCATTTTAGTCTATTTAATAAATAACTGAGCATGTGCCCCCACCCCCACACAAACCCTCTTCAAATTTTGTGGACAATGTTTCAAACAACTATCCTATATTTTACATTTAATTTATGCAACCTACTCATTTTACTAAGTAAATCCAAAGTAGTATATGAGGCAAAATAAATAAATAAGGTTTAGTAATTTGAGTTTTTCCAAAAGAACTTTTATTATTAAATCTCTGTAACAGAAACAGAGCATTTATACTGGGGAATGGATTTAGGTACTGAAGGACTTTTGTTTTTGTTGTTTTGGTAAAAATCAAAAAAATACAAAAGATTTACCATATAATATTAGATATGTACAAGGCACCAACTACATATATTTTAGATAACTATATATATTTTAAATAACTACATGTCATTTAAAATGATAAATGGTTAGTAAGTAAAACAGCAAAATCATTTTTAAAAAATAAATCAATAGCCTTTCTCCAAGAAAGAACTGACAGAACACCACATTTAAAAAACCTAGCTGTCTGCTTCTATATATAAGCACTCTGGTTGGTTGTGTAAACTATAAACTGGGCCAAATAAGAAATCCTGAAGGCAGTGCAAAGGGAAGTAAGTAATTACAACTGGCATTGTACAAAAAGGCATACAAGTAAAGTTGCTACTGCTGTTGAGGTTCAAAACCAGCAGAGACCTGAATACACCACTGTTTCTAACCAGCTATTTTTAAGTTATCTGGTGAGCTAACAGTAAATACAGCTGTGAACACAGCGGTACACACCATCTGGAGGCTTTTGACTTAAGCAATTTTTCAAATGCACAGTATATTCACTCTTCTTGTTCCTCTGAAGCTCAACAGTTACATATAAACTGACTCTTTTTTAAAACCACAGTTACAAAAGCTAATTCACTCTGTGAAAAACAAGATGTGAGAAACAGATCTAATTGTTCATTTTTAGAACCAAGTGATTATTTCAAATCTTTAGTGGCAGAAATACTTTCAATTTTATAAAGAATTTCCCATATTTACCTATTATAATCTTAAAAAATCTTCACAGGTAATTCTGATTAATACTCTAAAGTTTAAATGTTCTACTTTCAGAAGTGACTCACATCCATTACCTCATTTTATCCCAAAAGCCTGAACACAGATGTCAGATTAATCACATAAAATCTTACCTACAGAATGTGACTGCCATGAACCCTACAGCCTCTTCTAGCTACCCTACTGCTATTCCTTCTCTCATTGACAAGCTTCTCAACATTTTCTTATCATCTACAAACTAGCTTCTACACATCACGAGGCATCTTCCACCTCCTAGGCTACTCTGCTCTCACTAAATGCTCAGAGGTTTAACTGGCTCCTGTTTGAATAAACAGGTTTTACGTAAGTGTGTTCAGTTCTCATTCTCTTACCCACAATCTAGACCATACTAATGACCCCTCTCTTTGAAGCTCTCTTCTCCCTTTATCCCTTTTATACTGCATTAACTTTCAGACCTCCGTCTCTCAAGTCAAGCTTCCCATCCTCAATTTCTTCCTCTTCCACATATATCTCCTATTTATAAGGACACACATAATGTCTGCCTTGTTTGTTTCCATATCCCCAGGCCCAGCTCAAAGTAGAATGACAATATATATTTGTTGAATGACTAAACCAATTTTGTAAGGAAAATTTTTGGAGAATACCATACTCTATGATGTCCTCAAAAAGGACAAATACAACATCTAAGCGTTCCCTTCAGCCAACGTTTCTTTTTCTAGCTATCCCAAAAAGTTTGTCTGGCATTACTTAGTCTTACTAAAGCCATTCTGCTTATTGTCCTGACTCCATTATCCTCAAATGTTAACAGAGTGTCTCCTAATTTCTCCTGCTATAAATTATAAACATTTTATAACTATAAACATTAGCTTAAAAAGGAATAGGAACTTTTAAGGAACTGACCGTTTTCATTTTATTTGGGGGTGTGTTTTAAATTTTTTAACAAATATATTTGATTTTTCCTAAAACTTCAAATATCTTCAAGAAACCCTTATTTGGCTAATTACCTTACCTTATTAACAGAACTTTCAGTAAAGCAACATAAGGCCCAGCAATTCTAGATCTAGGAATGTATACTACGTTTAAAGGGAGCAAAGATTTAACTATACTCAGATGCTCTCTTCAGCACTGCTTATAATTAAAAAAAAAAATCAAAATGTCCATCAGTAGGGGCCTAGTTAAGTAACTAAGACATCTACTCCTCATAAGTACAAACATGGAGAATGAAAGAAGTCAGAAGCAGAATAGTACATGTAGTATAATACTATCTGTATGTATTTTTAAGACATATATTTCCATATGCATAAAAATTTCTGGAAGGATACGCAAGAAACTAGTAATATTGATTACCCAATCCATGAGGGGTGGGAAGGAGCTACTTTTCACTATATACTTGTTTGAATTTTCTTAATAAAAAAAATTTCCATAAAGTAAATAAACTGTTAAAAACTTGTTTTAGAAGCTAGAATTTTGAAATAACAAAGCTTTCCTGAGGAATTTCCATAATAAAGAGTTTTATTATAGTTCTAAATTTATCACTATAGAACCTAAAGATCACTGAGCAAATCCATCACCTTTTGATTACATGGAGTTTTTGTCCAGAGTATTGGCTTCTCTTTTCCAATTACTACGTGTACTTGCATTACCTCACAGTGAGCACCCCTTGTATAAGAATAAACAAATCACAAAATGGTGTTGGTCACAGAGCTGAAAGCAGTGAGAAGGAATGCCCTTTTATAAGGGTTGATTCGTAAAGAATGACAGGTGATCAAGTTTCACAGTTAAAAATGGGATCATTTTATAGAAGAATCCTGATTAAATGGGGGGAAATGCAAAAGAAAATTTCAAATTCGCGTAGAACCCATACTTTACGGAACCATGGAGATTGGATGAACCTCCAGAATTACTGCCGTAAGATATCTTTAAACCTTAAACCAAAAATATCCCTTAAAGTCTTCTTAAAACCATAGCTTAGTTTAACTAGTAAAGAATGTCTGCCTTGAACATTATGCTCTTTTAAGATCTATGTATACGGAATCAAATTGACAAGAGCAACTTGAAAGATTAGACAGAAACCTTGGGGGTGGGGGCAATGAGTTTATGTTAATGAGGGAGGAACAACTCAGAAAAGGAGGGTGAGAATGGCTGCACAACTAGAATATAATCAATGTTATTGAACTGTATGTGCAGAAACTTAAACTGGTGTATGTTTTGCTGTGCATATTCTCAACAACAATAACAAAAAAATATCTCAAAGAAAGAACAGGGGATCAGGATTTGGCTTGGAATTCTGGCTTCACTTCTCATTAGTGAATTGCCTAACCTCTCCAAGCCTCAGTTTCCTCACTTGTACCTTACAGATTTAAACCTGCAAGTATCAAATAATTTATGCAAAGACAGAACAATATTGAGAAAATGAAATCATCCACAATCCCATCAGCCAGAGATTAGCACTGTTAATGTTTGGTATGTATCTTTCTGATCTTTTTCCTGAGCCTCTGTAGGTAAATGTGGGTGTATGCATAATTGGACTCATACTGCATGAAGAGTTTAGCATCTACAGTTTTTTCCATTTAGCTTTACACGATAATTTTTACATCGTGATGATTTCTAATGGCTGCAGAGTATTTTCTTTTATGGATGGGCCATGATTCAAATATCCCCCTTCTACTGTTGGGCACGCAAACTGACAAGTCACTCTCCTTCATTTCTTTTCCATTTCATTTTTTCTTTCCTAGGAAAAGTTTCCTCCTCCTTTGTTTCATCTGTGAGCAAAAAAAATTGTTAACAGTGGCTAATAAATCCTACTGGTAGTGTGAGAAATACATTTTTAACAAGGAAGAGAAAAATAATGGCTTAAAGAATAATGTTGAACTTCCCATATTAACTTCTAAAAACCACTGACATGCCCAGAAGTTATCTTTGGAAGTTTCATAAATCATCACGTTCCCTTTTATTTGTTTTGTCTTCCTCCACTGGAATGTAAGTGCCACGAGAGAAAGGACTTAGTCTTGTTTCTATCTTCAGCAACTAACATAGTACCTAGAACATAATTAGTGCTCACTTTATTAAGTATTCACTATTACGAAGTGCTATGCACGTCCCTAAGCATTTTGCATACCCTCTGAGGTAGGTATTATCATTTTACCCACTTCATGTATAAGGAAACAATCACAAAGAGGTTAAGTAACTTATCCAAGGTCTCACAGTGAATAAGAGGTGAACTAGGATTAGAACTCAGGCAGCCTAGCTATTAATCACCATGCTATGATGAATAAATTGATTAATTATACCAGCATGGCTCCATGCCCTAACGTTAAAAACTGAGTTAGATTAGGTGGATATTTCCTGCTAATTGAATGTCAACATTATTGTTTTACTGCTTTTCATTACAGACATACAAGTAAGTCAACTATACCACGGATTAAACAGATTTTGCAGGACAGGTCTAAAACCCTGATCACCATTAATATTTAGAATCTGAAAATACAGTCTCAATTTAAAAAAAAAAAAACTCACAAACAAAAAAATTGTCTGGATCTAGGCTACTTCCCTGCTTCCTTCTATCTTTTCCTTGGATTCAGCAATCTCTGCTGTCAATCTAAATGTTTTAATTTCTTTTAATTAGAGAAAACATTTTCTAGATGAGTTACTTTGAGATTATCACATTCCTAGAAAATGTTGCACTCTCTTTTCCTCAAGCTGTTGTAAGCAGGATCCATTTCTCCAAGGAGTTAAAAAAAGAATATCTTCCTGACAGGCGGCAGCGTGGGATGAAGAGGTGGAGCACAGGGCATTTTTAGGGCAGTGAAATAATTCTGAATGATACTGTAATGGTAGATACATGGCATTATATATTTGTTAAAACCCGCAGAACTGTACAATACAACAAGTAAACCCTAATGTAAACTATAGACCTTAGATGATAATAATGTATCAATATTCGTTCATCAATTGTAACAAACATACCACAACAATACAAGATGTTAATAATTGGGGGGAGGGGGAGATAATATGGGAACTCCATACTTTCTGCTCAATTTTTCTATAAACCTAAAACTGCTCTAAAAAAAAAGGTCCATTAATTTCTTTAAAATATATATACCTTATAGTGTTATAAAAAAGATTAAATTAGATCCCTAAGGGACTGAATTACTGGGCTGAGGGCTGTGGGGACCATGGTCTCGGGGAACATCTAGCTCAAATGGCATAACATAGTTTATAAAGAAAATGTTCTACATTCTACTTTGGTGAGTAACACCTGGGGTCTTAAAAGCTTGTGAGTGCCATCTAAGATATTCCACTGGTCTGTCGGGAGCAAAGACAAATGAAGAAAACCAAAGACACAAAGGAAAGATTAGTCCAAAGGACTAATGGACTACAACTACCACAGCCTCCACCAGACTGACGCCAGTACAACTAGATGGTGCGTGGCTACCACCAACAACTGCTATGAAAAGGATCACAACAGAGGGTCCTGGACAGAGCTGGAGAAAAACGCAGAACAAAATTCTAACTCACAAAAAAAGACCAGACTTACTGTCCTGACAGAGACTAGAGAAACTCCAAGAGTATGGCCCCCGGACACCCTTTTAGCTCAGTAATGAAGTCACTCTTGAGGTTTACCCTTCAGTCAAATATCAGATGGGCCCATAAAATAAAACAAGACTAAAGTGCACACGAGCCCAGGGGCAAGGACTAGAAGGCAGGAGGGAACAGGAAAGCTGGTAATAGGAAACCCAAGGTTGAGAAGGGAGAATGTTGACATGTTGTGGGGTTGGTAACCAATGTGACAAAACAATATGTGTACCAACTATTTAATGAGAAGCTAGTTTATTCTGCAAACCTTCATCTAAAGTACAACAAAAAAAAAATCAAATTAGATATCTATGTCAATTAAACCATCTAAGCATACATTAGATAATCTATGGGTAGTGTATACCTGGCACATAATTATCAATAAATATTATGAGTGTAAAAAAAAATATGTGTGTGTATACATACACATATACATAACCTATGAAACCAAGCCAGTTGCCATCAAGTCAATTCTAACTCATGACAGCCCCGTGTGTCAGAGTAGACCTGTGCTCCGTAGGGTTTTCAATGGCTGACTTTTCAGAAGCAGATCACCAGGCCTTTTTCCAAGGTGCCTCTGGGCAGACTCGAACCACCACCTTTCAGTTAGTGGCCAAGAGCGTAACCATTTTCGCCACCCAGGGACATCGCAGATAGACAGACTGACTGATCATCTACCACTTGTCTGTCAGTTTGTCATACTATGGTGGCTTTCGTGTTGCTATAATGTTGGAGGCTTTCTGACATGGACTGAACTGTATTCCCCAAAAATATGTTGTCAGCTTGGCTAGGCAGATGATTCCCAGTATTGTGTGGTTGTCTGCCATTTTTGATTTGATGTGATTATCCTATGTGTTGTAAATCCTAACCTCTATGATGGTTAATGAGGCAGGATTAGAGGCAGTTATGTTAATGAGGCAGGACTCAATCTACAGGATTAGGCTGTATCTTGAATCAATCTCTTTTGAGATATAAAAGAGAGAATCAGAGAAGGGTGGGACCTCATACCACCTAGAAAGAAGCACCAGGAACAGAGAGTGTCCTTTGGACCCAGGGTCTCTGTGCTGAGAAGCTCCTAGACCAGGGGAAGATTGATGACCAAGGTCCTTCCCCCAGAACCAACAGAGAAAGCCTTCCCCTGGAGCCGGTGCCCTGAATTTAGACTTCAAGCCTCTTAGACTGTGAGAAAATAAATTTCTGTTTGTTAAAGCCATCCACTTGTGGTATTTCTGTTATAGCAGCACTAGATAACTAAGACACTATGCCACCAGTATTTCAAATTACCAGCAGGGTCACCCATGGTGGACAGGTTTCAGTGGAGCCTCCAGACTAAGACAAATTAGGAAGTAAGGCCTCACAATCCACCTGTGAAAATCAGCCAATGAAAACCCTATGGGTCACAAAAGAATACTGTCCAATACAGTGCTGGAAGATGAGCCCCCTAGTTTGGAAGGCACTCACAAACATGGTGCAGGGCCAGGCAACGTTTTGTTCTGTTACACAATCAGAGTTGCCATGAGTTGGGCCCAACTCAACAGCAACTACCAACAATATATTTATATATATCTCAACCTGAGCCAACCTCCCTCACCCCACCCCAGTCTCTTACACCACGGCCACCAATGCCAGCAGCCCTCACCTATCCCCAGGTTCTTGTATCAGTAAACTGGGCCTCTGAAAAAGGCACCACACTAGCTTTACGTATCATTTTGCTTTTTTGACTTCTCCTCCTTTTAAAAAAGGTAGACAACAGAAGCCTGTGATAGTGATAACAGCTCTGGACAGTATCTCCTCAGCACAAAGGCAGACAGAAAGGTGATCAAACCATTGACAAAACTTGCCATTCACATCACAATCTATTTTACAGCCCTGATAATCTGACCCTGTGACAGGCCTATATTCAAAGACTCAAATCTACTCAATTTTAAAGTAAATACTTTCCAATAACTTGCAGCCAAAAACACACTGTAAAATTTTAAGTTAGCCACATGGGCACCTGAGCAGAGAAATTTCTAAACCCTTCTATTAATCATTCAGCCCATGGCCAAACTGCTGTTAGTCAAGGGCTCTCTTAATCCCGTTGGTACAGTGTAATATTGTAACAGAGGCAAGAGACAAGGGGGAAACATAACATTCCAGCCATGTTATCCACTGATGCTAACATTTGTTGTTTGAATTTAACCAACGAAGCCTAGAGTAGTGAAAAAGAGCTCACGTTTTGTTTTTTAAATACAATATTGGCTTCCTACGTCATTATAAAATAGATGGTTCCTTTGGCTACTCAGACTACACAACAGCAAGCAAAACCCCCTGACCTCGGAAAAGCATGGTAATTGTAATACCTACTGATAAATTACATGGTTTACCAATTTCCTCAAAACCAAAAATAAAT